ATCCACGCCGGTTCACTTAATTCTTTCGCCGCAGAGCAAACACTGCTTCTCCTTCTACGCTGCGAGAGGAGAGGAGGAGAGAGGAGGCGAGAGGAGAGGAGGAGAGAGGAGGAGAGAGGAGGAGAGGAGGAGAGGAAGAGGAGTAAAGGAGATCTTTTGTTCGGCAGCATCAGCTCCTCCTCGGGGAGATCTTCCTGGAGGGAGGAGACCAGATCTCCCCGAGACTCACCCTCAGCACCGGGAGGACGGAGTTAGAGGAGAGGCACACCCTGGGTTAGAGGAGGAAGAGGAGGAAGAGGAGGAAGAGGAGGAAGAGGAGGGTAAGAGGAGGCTGCAGACCTGTTGGTTCATTTCGGTGTAACTTCCTCTGTTTTCATTTCTCCCTTATCGTGATCGTTGTTGTGAATTCATCTAAGTGTGTCCTTAACCCCCCCATCCATTACCCCCCCATCCATCCATTACCCCCCCCCCCCCATCCATTGCCCCCCCCCCATCCATTAGCCCTGTCCACTACCTCCATATTCAGAGAAGTTAAAAAGGGAAGAAAATCAGAGAAAAGAAGAGGGACGTGAAACAAGAAACAGGAAAAAGTTTAAATAAAAACTAGAAAGGCGTTTCACTCCATCCCTTCTTCACTGCCAACAACCTGTGGCGCTGAGTGTGTGTGTGTGTGTGTGTGTGTGTGTGTGTGTGTGTGTGTGTGTGTGTGTGTGTGTGATGAAATCTATCTGAAGCCCTCAGGTTCTTTTCTCTCTACAGATGGCCAGGGTTGGGCCAGGCTAGCCGACGGTCTCTGTGTGTGTATGTGTGTGTGTGTGTGTGTGTGTGTGTGTGTGTGTGTGTGTGTGTGTGTGTGTGTGTGTGTGTGTGTGTGTGTGTGTGTGTGTGTGTGTGTGTGTGTGAAACTCTCATTGCTTCATGTGTCCAGGCTGTGTTTACTCCTCCCTGTAACCCCCCCCCCCCGCCCCAGGGCTGTTGATTCTTCTCTCTGCAGAATAACGAGTGTTTGCAGATTCACTTCCTGTTAAACATTTAGATCTGTTTCCTGTTCATGTTAAAGTGATCAGGTGTCATAGCTGCTGTTAGCCAATCAGAGTGCAGAGAATATTGATCGGACCAATCGATGGACAGATTTCAGATGTTAGCCTCTCTTTGTATTCAGAGCGCTGCTTCAATTAGAATAAAACGAATCCATTTTCTTCATCTGTCATCCATTATTAATGTCTGATTCTAATCAATGCCCTTTCTCAGAGCTCAGAAACAAACAGCTGAATGTTCTCAGAGCTGAGACCATGGTTTCAGTTTGAAACAGAATTTGAAAATGTTCATTCAAGGCCAGAGATGAGATAAAAACAGAGCATAGAAAAGTGGCTTTTGCTCACCTGTAAAGTATTTTTGATCTCCTGCACATGTGATGCAGGGGGTCTCCATTTTACACACTTTAATTAGAAGAGGAGGGGGGGCACACTGTTTGGGCTGACCTCCCTCACCCTGTTTCTCACCCTGTTTCTCCCCCAGATTTCCTGAGGGATCCACATGTCAGGACCTCCTCCAGGTGGAGGTGTGTGCAGGTAAGATGCCCCCTCCCCCCCTCAGAGTTATCAGTAGATGCCCCCTCCCCCCCTCAGAGTTATCAGATGATGATCTAACCCCGGCTTCACCCCCTTTTCTTGTTTCTCCTCCACAACGCTGCTGCTGCTGGGATTGAAACGCCGTCAATGAATCTCCTGCAGAGGAGCATTGATGGACCTCCAATCGATGAGTGTGTGAGTGTGAGTGTGTGTGTGTGTGTGTGTGTGTGTGTGTGTGTGTGTGTGTGTGTGTGTGAGAGTGTGTGTGTGTGTGTGTGTGTGTGTGTGTGTGTGTGTGTGTGTGTGTGTGTGTGTGTGTGAGTTCTCTCTCTGGCTCTGCTGCTGAAAGACTCTCTTCGGTGACGGGTATTCTTGGGTGGATAATACGGATCACGTTGTTATTGCTTAAGAATACGCGTAGTCGAGGAGAGTCCTCTCTTCACCAGCAACACCCCCACCCCCCCTCACCTGCCCCCCCCCCCCCCCCCCCCCCCACGGAGAGGACGGTCAGGAGAAGCCCCGCCCCCTACAGAGACGTTTCACTTCCTGTTCTGATCCAGCTCCAGGTCCACTTTGTCTCTGTCTCCGATGGATGTGTCTCTGTGTCGTGTTGTGGGCGTCGTCTGACAGACTGGTCATGTGACTGGTCATGTGACTGTGTGCATGAGGCACTAACATGGAGGAGCATGCAACAGGTGTAGGAGGTAGACCTGGACCCTCAGGACCCTCAGAGACTTTAATCCACGGACAGGAAGAGATCCAGACTTCCTGTCACTGCATCACTCTGACTGATCTCCACTGACTGTTACTCACTAACCTTTAAACTCTTCATCAGCAGACGATGGTGACGCACTCTAGAAACACACGAGCAGAATATTGTAGAACATTTTATGAATCCCAAATATCCTTAAAGTCACAAACAGGAAGGACTGTTTAACGAGATTCAAGCGTTTGGGGATGAACTCTCTGTTTTAATCAGGACTGAAGCTGTGAAGGAGATCCAGTCTGAGGACCGGCTGAAGGGTGCCGTGGTATAGATCCATAACAGATCTATAATAGATCTGTTATAGTTAGAGTGGACCCTCCTCTCATTCAGCTGCACTTATTCTTTCTCCTCTTTTTTTAAATCCTCATAATGTTACAGTTATCTGAGTCTCTCCTGATCCTCAGCTGACTGCATGGAAACACACGTAAACACACGTAAACACACGTAAACACACGTAAACACACGTAAACACACGTAAACACACGTAAACACAGAGATCAGGATCAGTTAACAGTTCACTCCTGTTCACACACTTAGAGACTCAGCAGCGTTACACGTTGTTGTAAACAAAGACTCGTCATCACTCGCCAACAGAGCTAATGCTGAAATGTGTGTAGGAGGAGAATACAGCATAACTGAATAATTACACACACACACAACAAATGTTTACTCTGACAGCAGGGTGTATCATTATAAAAACTGACATCATGTAACGTCAACTCTTTATGAACACATGGAGTGTAAAACATTAAACATTAACACGTTATATGTTCTATTAATGCCTGTCAGTGTATACAGTATGTGTGTGTGTGTGTGTGTGTGTGTGTGTGTGTGTGTGTGTGTGTGTGTGTGTGTGTGTGTGTGTGTGTGTGTGTGTGTGTGTGTGTGTGTGTGTGTGTGTGTGTGTAGCTGCTGACAATGTCTTCTGATCGTATAATTAAATATTTTGTAACACGAGCTGCTGCTGATATAATGATATAATGTTGATATAATCACATGTGAATATTATAAAGTATATTATATGATGAGCTGCTGGCGTGTGTGTGTGTGTGTGTGTGTGTGTGTGTGTGTGTGTGTGTGTGTGTGTGTGTGTGTGTGCTGCTCTGTACTAACAGCTCTGTCATTTCCCTGTAAATGTGCCTTATATAATATATGATATATAATGTGTAATGTATAGTGTGGCTGTAAATCTAAATAAATATATATCTTTTACTTAAATTGTGAAGTGAAGCTTTAATGTGAGGTGAGGCCTCGGAGCAAACACACACACACACACACACACACACACACACACACACACACACACACACACACACACACACACACACACACACACACACACACACACACTTCCTCCTTCAAGACCTATTTTACATTTGGTGTTAAATTTCAGTGAAGAATGAAAACGTTACTTTGAAATCCTTAGCTCTATTATTATATATATGTGTATATAATGTTGCAGTGTGTGTGTGTGTGTGTGTGTGTCAGTGGCGAACCGTGTCTATCACAACTGAACCTTCTGTAGACACACACACACCCCCCGCCGCCACGCCGTGCCCCCCCGCCGTTATAATGTTCGTCTTTTCACTGAATTGTCGTCTTGAAAAGGGTACTCACTCACAACACCTTCATCTTCACCTGTTGCCCTTTCAACATTAAAAACAATAAAACGGCATGAACTGCTTCGTAGCATTCATCTAGATCCTCTGTCTCGAGCCAGTGAACTAGCGGGCCTTCTAGAGCAGTGGTTCTCAACTGGTGGGTCGCGACCCAAAAGTTGGGTCACGATGTATTGACCAAGTAAAAAGTGGGTCCCGAGGCCTGACCAGTTGAGAACCACTGTTCTAGAGGACCCTGGAACCGAGGGGAACTCTGAAAGAACACGCCCATTGGCTACAAATCAATATATGATTGGTTGATCAAACTGTCAATCCAAAGGTACGCTCTCAGTCAGTGCAACGGCCAGGGCCTTCTATCAAGGATATCAAATCAAATCAAATCAAATCAAGTTTTATTTATAAAGCACATTTAAAAGCGATTTTTGGTCGAGCCAAAGTGCTGTACATGTAATAAAAACACATTACTACAATATCGAATACCTTGTTGAAGGATATTCTACCCAGAGACCCAGAAAGATATCTGATTGGTTGCTTTCTTTTCTAACACAAAACCACTGAAATGCGTAGTGCATGGTCCGAGAAGGAGAAACAAATCAACGTAACACTGTGATATTACAGATCAATAACATTCTAATTTATTCATTTTATTACATTTTATATATATAATTAAATCGATTTTTTGTTTGTTTTATCTGAGTGTTCCAGGGTATTACCTTGAAGGCCCTGACGGTTCGCCACTGGTGTGTGTGTGTGTGTGTGTGTGTGTGTGTGTGTGTGTGTGTGTGTGTGTGTGTGTGTGTGTGTGTGTGTGTGTGTGCTCTGCAGCTGTTGTTTGGTTGATTACTCATTTAGCAGATTAGTAACAAACATCCGTAAGGACGAGACATATTTATTAATATTTAGCTTTTTATTAATAATCGTCTGGACTTCTCTCACTGGAGGAGCTGGGAATAAATCCTCTAATACACTGTCTGCACATTTAATATATTGAATTTAAAATTTTGAAAACGAACACGTTTAAATGATACTGGATTTAAAGGGAATGGACTCAGTTTTTTAGGATCTTAAAATCTTCAAGATAAGCTGCGTTATGTTTATTGTGTTGTTACGTTTTGTCTTATTTCCCAGAAGGGTCCTGAAACTCCACGTGAAACAGAATCCAGAAAACACTGAAGACTGCATCAACACCGACCCTCTTTATCGTCTGTTTCCGTATTACGTGAGAACATGGTTAAATGGCTCTGAGGTCGAAATGGTTCTGATGTTCTCAAGTATTTTCCAGCTGTTCTCTAGAACATGTGCATCTCCACCAGTGAACTCTGATTACAGTCTCATCATGCTTAGAGTTATCCCTTTATATGTCCAATAAAACAGAACTTTGCTGCATTACGCCTGCTGTCCTGTTTGAGATGTTTTAATGTGTGTGTGTGTGTGTGTGTGTGTGTGTGTGTGTGTGTGTGTGTGTGTGTGTGTGTGTGTGTGTGTGAGAGTCTACATCATGAGGAGGACTTTCCCTCCAGCTTTGCTGATTACTCTCAGTCTGTAAGTACTGACATCACCAAAGGCCCGCCTTCTCAGTGTGTGTGTGTGTGTGTGTGTGTGTGTGTGTGTGTGTGTGTGTGTGTGTGTGTGTGTGTGTGTGTTCTGACGGTAAGTACTTGTGACTTGCTCATTCAGCTGAACTGGTTTGTGAATCAGAGCTGGTGTGATGAGTGGGCAGAGTGAGGGGGGGATGAGATGTGCTGATGCTGGATCACAGCCCCCCTCACAGTGTGTGTGTGTGTGTGTGTGTGTGTGTGTGTGTGTGTGTGTGTGTGTGTGTGTGTGTCTGCTCACAGTCCGATTGTTGGCTTCATGTGGAGCTGCTTTCTAAAAGGTGCTTCTCATGGAGACTAAAAGACACACCTGAAGTTAGGTGTGTGTGTGTGTGTTGTCTTCAGTCATGTGCTTTGACTGCATTCCTGTTGCCATGGTTACTTATTTAAGACACAGCTAGAGCAAACAGTGAACTAGGCATTATTAGGAAGTGAAGGACACCCTGCAGCCAATCAGCATTAAGTTACATAAAGTAACGTACTGTGACATAACGTAACGTAACATAACGTAATGAACCGTAGCATAAAGTAACGTACTGCAACGTGATATTCCGCAACGGACCGTAACATAACGTAATGAACCGTAACATAAAGTAACGTACTATAACGTGATATTCCGTAAAGTAACATAAAATAACGTAATGAACCGTAGCATAAAGTAACGTACTGTAACGTGATATTCCGCAACGGACCGTAACATAACGTAATGAACCGTAGCATAAAGTAACGTACTGTAACGTGATATTCCGCAACGGACCGTAACATAACGTAATGAACCGTAACATAAAGTAACGTACTGTAACGTGATATTCCGCAACATACCGTAACATAACGTAATGAACCGTAACATAAAGTAACGTACTCTAACGTGATATTCCGCAACGTACCGTAACATAACGTAAGGTACCCTAACATCAGTGTTGGGTGTAACGCGTTACAAAAGTAACGGAGTTACAGTAATGTATTACTTTTTGCTGTAACGAAGTAATGTAACGCATTACTAATGACATGTGGGTAATATACTACCCGTTACAATTCTCAGTAACGCAGTTACAACACATTTTAAGCCGAAATTAAATGGTGTTTGTTTTTTAAGAATTCACTAACATCGCGAGACATTCCGACACCAGAGAAAAATTGTGCGGGTAGATTAGTAAGCCTGGTGTTTACCCTTCAGGCTCATCAAGATCCCTCCGCTTCACGTCGGGTTCCCTGATCAGCCTGTCGGGTGCTCTTTTCCCCATAAGGACCGCCTCGCTGCACATTATCCCGCTACACGGCCATATAC